GCCTGGACTACTGTAATGCTCTCTACATGGGGCTCCCCTTGAGGAGCACCCGGAGGCTCCAACTGGTCCAGAATGCGGCCGCGCGGGCGGTGTTGGGAGGGACTCGTCGCTCCCATGTAACACCGCTGCTGCGCGAGCTGCACTGGTTGCCGGTGGCCTTCCGGGTGCGCTTCAAGGTGTTGGTCATCATCTTCAAAGCTCTCCATGGCATCGGACCTGAATATCTCCGAGACCGCCTTCTGCCGCAGGTTACCTCCCACCGGCCGGTACGCTCCCACAGAGCGGGCCTCCTCAGGGTGCCGTCAGCCAGACAGTGCCGGCTGGCGACCCCAAGGGGGAGGGCCTTCTCGGTGGGAGCTCCCACCCTCTGGAACGAACTACCCCCAGAGATCCGGGTGATCCCGGATCTCCCCTCCTTCCGCCGCGCCCTAAAGACATGGCTCTTCCAACAAGCGGGATTGGCCTAGGGGAATTTTTAGTGGGGTTTTTTAAGAGAAATTTTAATGATATAGGCCATAACAAATATTTCTTTTTAATTTGGTTTTAAATTAGGTATTTATTGTTGCATTGTTTTATAAGGCTGTTAGCCGCCCTGAGTCCGGTAAGGAGAAGGGCGGGATATAAATTGAATTACTAAATAAATAAATAAAAATGACTTGGCTGACTAGCCTCTTGACTTCTGGTCATTTGATCATTCACAAAGGTCATAAGGGTGAAAAGTGGGGGTGGGTGGTTTTGTTCAGTGCCGTTGTTAACTTCGGACAGTCACTGAATGAACGGCCGTTAAGTCGAGGATTACCTGCACAAAATTGTTCCAGGCGGCTTACAAGATTTGACTTTCTTACCGTAATGTAAAATCACTCTGGGCGTTTACACCAGCTACAAATCCTTATCATTTATCTCCATAAAAAATAAAAGAGGTATTTACTCTCCCACAGAGCTCCTGATATAGGTAGTCTTCGACTTAGGACCACAACCGAGTCCAACATTTCCGTTGCTCAGTGAAACGTTCGTTGAGTGAGTTTTGCCCCATTTTACAACCCTTCTCACCACCCGTTGTTAAGCGAATCACTGCAGTTGTTAAAGTTAGTCGCACAGTCGTTAAGTGAACCCGGCTTCCCCCATGGACTTTGCTGGTCGGAAAGTCGCCAAAGGGGATCGCGTGACTCTGGGACACCGCGACCGTCGTAAATATGAGTCGCCAAGAATCTGAATTTTGTTCACGTGGCCATGGGGAGTGCTGCAACGGTCATTAAGGGTGAAAAACGGCCCTATGTCACATTTTTTTCAGCGCTGCTGCAATTTTGAATGATCACTAAATGGACTGTCGTAAGTCAAGGACTGCCTGTATTGAGTCAGGCACCTCCGATTCTAGAACTCCACATTGCCTAAGTCAGGGCTAGGCCACCTTGGGTCTTTTATGACTCGTGGACTTCAACTCCCAGAATTCCTGAGCCAGCCATTCTGAGGGGAAAGGGAGAGTTTCCTAGCTGAGCAATGGCTGCCTCAGGAATTCTGGGAGTTGAAGTCCACGAGTCATAAAAGAGCCAAGGTGGGCCTACCCCTGGCACAGAGTGTAAAAACCTCACTTTTCTCAACACTGAAGTGCATTTTACTGAACGTGTCCCAGGGTTCAAGTCTGTCGAGTTGCTCCTGAAATCTGAAGTCTCACCTCCAAAGTGTTGGCAATTTTCCCAGATGGGTGTTGTTTCGCAAATTCAACTAATCACTACTACACCCCTGTTAATACTACTTGGATGAAGCCAGCCACCGGGGGCCCCTGGTGTGTTTATGAATGCGTAGAAATCCTCAAAAGATTTATTATAGTGCTAATTCTGAACATTTACAGGCAAAAAAATAAAAATAAAAATAAAGTTGTGACTTGCACAGCCGCTGAGTGTTTTACTCTCTTCTTGTAAGAAATGAGCCCGGCCATCGTTCTCGCTTCGGCTACACGATGTCCAGGACGGATGGAGGCTTGTTCTTCACCGCGGCTTGAACGGATCCCGGCTTCTTCCTCATTTGCTCGAAGGCGGTCATGGCCCGGGAATACTTGTGCTTTCACAAGAAGAAGGGGGAGAGAGAGAGAGAGAGATGGGGTGTTTATATTATAGGTAGTCCTCGGCTTACAACTGTTTGTTTAGTGACTGTTTGGGCACTTGAGATAAAGGGAATCAGGGCCGTTTTTTCACCCTTGACGACTGTTGCAGCACCCCCGTGGTCACGTGATCGAAATTCAGCTGCCTGGCCACTGACCCGTGTTTATGACGGTCGCAGTGTCCTGGGTCACGTGATCCCCTTTGGTGACCTTCTGACAAGCAGTTAATGGGGGAAGCCGGATTTACTAAGCAACGATGATTCACTTAACAATTGGAACAAGAACGGTTGTAAAACGGGGCAAAATTCACTTAACTGTCTCACTTAGCAACAGAAATTTTGGGCTCAACTGTGGTCGTATGTTAACTACCTGTGGGACCCTTCGGACAAGGGGCCATCCTGGGGGCCCACCTGGGCGATTTACCTTGCGGTCCACCTTTGCTTTGGCGTTATAGAAGGAAACGGAAGCTGGGCAGAAAGGCAGCACTTCCTGTTGCATCCGGTCAAATCTCTCTTGCTCGTCTTCATCCTGTTGGGGGGGGGGAGAGAGGGGCAGGCTGAAGGGGGAGGGGG